ATATGTAAAATAAAAAAATAAAATAAAAAGGGGGATGGGGACGGTTTATTGTGAGTGTGTGTGTTTGATATGATAAAAAAAAGGAGAAAGGGACAAACCGTTTTTCCCACTCACTTTCTTTTGTTTCCTTCCCTACGCGTGTGTGTAAGGTAAAAAAAAACAAAAAGAAGATAATAAATAAGGATGAAGGAGGAAGAAGGAAAAGGAATATAATATTAAAAAAAAGGGGGAAAATGGCAATTACGGTGTGTGTAAGTTTGACATTATATAATAATGCCAAAAAAAAATATAGAGGTAGAAGAATTCACGGGTGTACAATTGAAGAAGACAAAAGAAAGAGAATAAAGGCTGTGGGACCCACACTTGTTTTTAAAGCACCTCTTTGCCATATTTCATTTATTTCTCTTCCTTCTTTCTTCATCTGCCTCTGGTGCAAACAGAGAGCGAGTGAGAGAACACGAGCGACGCCTGCGACAAAGCTGAAGTAGAAGATAGGGCTCCACAATAGGATACTTCAGATGAGATTTTAAGTATTCTAAGACTAGGTAAGTGTTCTAAATATTTTTTCTTAGTCGTTTTTCCCTTTGAGCTGCAGATTTTAAGATTTTGAAAAATCTAGGGTTTGAAAGAGGGATGAATTTTTGGTGAGAAAATTTGGTTGTTGAGGTTGTTGGTAGTGTAATAAATATTCTAGAGTATTATTTTGTTGATAGAATTGAAATTTGAGGCATTTAAGCTTATCCCTAGATCCCTATAGGTAGATTTTTGGTTAAAATTCAAAAATATAAATTAATTTATTAATATTTAGATGATTATTTGAGATGAGAAATAAATTATTATGGCTATAGAATAATGATTCTAGGCTTGAAATCAAGTTTGCAATTTTTGGGTATTTTTATGTGCGAATTTTTGAAATAAAAAGGGAAATTTTGATATTAAAAAATTATTTAAATAAAATTATTGTGAAGGAGACTATTGAACCAAGTAGATAGGTTCAAATACATAAAATTAAATTTTATAACTAAGAGGCTAAGACTAAGGTCTTAAAAAAAATAAAATAAAATAAAACAAAAACTTAGGTGTTAGAGTATGAGTAAAAATTATATTAATAATATTATTGACACATTGTGATATGATCAATTGTAGATTAATTTCTTTTTTACACCGTTCAAGCTTTGGAAAGCTTTGGAATTGTTGTAACTTGAGGGGTAACCTTTGACCTCTCAAAGGTTGAGGTAACCGGGGAAAATCTATTTTATGCATTTGTATGTTAATTAATTAATTATGTTTTATGTTAGTGAAACAAAAGAAATATATATATATATATATATCTAAATTTAAAATAGTTGTTTGTAATGCATGTGACTTTGTTGAGACTTTATGACTTGTGAGTAATGGGATTGATGATTGATGATTATGTGTACACTCTTGGTTATAAGTTGTGGATTATGCACAGTGATAAAAATTGATGAGCGTATGGGATAATTTTGAAATATACATATATATGAGTTTTTGAAATGTATTTTCTCATGAGCATGATCATATGGCGGGAGTTCGCCTTAGTGAAGGAGTCAGCGGTTATGTAAAATCCATATGGTACTTGGCTATTAACCAATAATCCTAGGGGTTATAGCCGCTACTTACCTTGTAAGGTACTGTAACATTGTTCCTATTAAGGGACTTGACCCTACTGGCCTACCTGGAGTATTGGGTAGAGCTAGTTTTGGGCATGACACCCCATAGTGTGTGATTTAGGGGAAACCGTGTTCATAAGTGAGTAAGGTAACCTTAGCCCGGTAGCCCTTCATGATATGATTAAGGCCTTGGGTAGTCTCACCACATGGACGATCCCTTTCAGTTATTGGCCTACGGATTTCATGTCAGAGGAAATAAGGGGGGATATAAGGAAGAGATCGATCATGTATATTATTACTATCTTGTCATTTGAGTGATTGATGGCTATGTTGAGAATATAGTTATAATTGTAGAAATGAGAACATGTAGTAACCATGTGAATAACATATATATGGCTATTTTGTACTTGACTTTATTCTTGAGATTATTCACATGAGTTAAATGTTAATGTGATTGTTTACATAGTCACTTTGATAAACTTATCAGCCACTTGCATTCATGATTAATTACTATGCATTTGTATAACTTAGATGTACCTTGGTTACTGAGTGGTTGTACTCATCCCTCTCTTCTAACATATTACAGGAGCTGGCTCATCTGAGAAGAACAGAGTAAAGGAGCATTAAGCCAAGTGATAATAATAACTTCTATAGGCCTCTCTCCTTTTATGTTGATATGTGTATTCAGTTTATGATATTACCAATTAGGATAATATATTCTTGATCCACTTGCACTATGGGTTTTGTGTTGGATAGAAAGATATTTTGGGCCCTTGAGAATGTGTTTTGATGTTTTGTGTTATATTAATAGGCCAAAATATTTGTGCAAGTAAAAATAGTTATTATCATGCTTCCGCATATGTTTAATTAAATGATATGAGTTTTTAAAATATTTTAAAGACTTGGGATCCCTTTGTATTAAATAGTTTGTAAAAAAAAATACATGTTAAGAATTCATTTAGGATAATCCATTTGAATTAGTTCTTGATTAACCATGATTGGTGTGATAATTAAGTCCTAATTTAGGACGCCCATTACAAATTGGTATCAGGTTCTCGAGTTTTGAGAACTGGACTTTGGTTTGTGTGTGACTTGTTATATGATTGTGTACTATGTTATACTTGCATTTGCATATAGAATTGGCAATTATCATTATACACATATTCTTTTCCTCTGTGAGCTAGCACTAACTGTTTTTCATTTGTGGTATTACTTCCATCCTTAGGAGGGGAGAATATGGTACTAACCAGGAACACTACAGCTAATAATTTGGCAATTCCACAAAGACTAGAGGATCAGGTGGTGGTGGAAGATGAAACAGCACCGGTTTAAGTCCAACAAGGACAGGTGGTACCAGAGTTACTAAACCCGACTGAGCAAGTTCAAGTCTTGACTCAAGCAGGACCTTCTACACAAGCTCCAGTTCAAGCTATTCCTGCGACTGGTAATAACAACGATGTAGCCTCCTTACTTCAATATTGATGGACATCCAGAAGAGGATGGATGTTTATGACCAAGTTATATTAGGGAAGGCTGCTGAGGGAAATAGTGAAGTCATTGTAAACACTACTGGTAACCCTGAAGAGAAGCAAGGGGAAGTGAATTTGGAAGTCAACAATCAACAAGAAAAAGAGTTGTTGTTGCAAACATGAAGTATATAAACAATAACAATTAGTACATTGAAACAATGTCAGCAGATAAACAATATAAGCTCTAAAAGTGAAGACATCTAATGCGAAAGTGTTAGGTTGGTGAATCATATGAAGACATTAATTTCACACAAAGGTCTTGAGGTAGTGTTTTTCATGTGACACTAGCAATGTGTCAAACCCTATGTTCTCAATCCTCATCCTTAAGTTCTTATCACCTTTCACAAACTTTGCAAGTTCTATAAACTACCTCAGAAAGCACCTTATGTAAAAAGAAATCTAATATTTCTTTTTTTCAACATTTTTATAGGTTTTGATACCCTAGTCTTCTCAACCATTAGCAATTCTTCCCATGCCTTTAGTTCAAATTTTATTTTATGTTTCAACCTCATATATATATATATATATATATATATATCTTGATGTTCCTTAAGAAAATATTTCTTAAACAGACTCAATCAACACTTCCTAATAATATTTAGCAATCTACACTAGCCATAACAACCAAGCTAAAATAATATCATAGGATTCTTGTAGTTTTCAAAACCTTTTTAGTCATTTGGAATACAATAACAGTTATTTCAGAAATAAAATTTGTCACAGCAACCAAATTCAAATACTATCATATGACTATAATCATTTGTTAAAACTATTGTAGTCATTTTCAAAATGAGACTTGTCACAACAACCAAATTGAAATATTATTATATGATTCTAGTCATTTGTCAAACCACTTTAATCATTTTCTATATAATAATAGTTATTTCAAAAACAAAAGTTGTTGCAACAATTAAATTTACACATCATTATAGCATTTAGTCATGTTAAAAACCATTTTAGTCATTTTCAAAACAAAACTTGTTAATGCAACCAGATTCAAACACTATATTCAAGTTCTAGTCACTTTTAAATCATTGTCGTCATTTACTATATTATGATAGGCACTTCCTAAGCAAAACTTGTTACAACACCCAAGTTTATACTCCTAATATAGGATTTTAGTCATTTCTTGAACCGTTTTAGTTATTTACTGTAGCATAAAAATCATTTTGTTAACCATCATAAACAAAACCATTTCAAACAAAACTATCATAAACACATTTGCATCTTAGGTTTTGAAATGGATAAAGGGCATGAGCTTACCAATGGGGATAATGTAGTTTAGAGTAGACAATCGTGGTTCCCAGCGGTGACACAGTAACAACGAGTTGTTCTGTGACTTAGCACAGACCCCAAGAGCAAAAATGGGTCTCAAAAATTGGACCTTTTGCATGAAAATGCTGCGCAAATGTGAGATTAGATCTGTTACCTTAGCGGTAACAATAGATCACAGCAAGACGATGACACATGAGGTAGCAGTAGCACAAACAAGAGAAGAGATACAATGGAAGAAGAGAAGAGAGAAAATGGTGCTCAAGTTTTTTTGCTTTTGTGAGGAAATGAGAAAATGGTGCCAATCTCATTACTTTTTTTTTTTTTAGACGATGAGCATATTAATTATTTAATCTAAAATTGAGAAGAATTAAAGTATTTGTTTAAATTTCAATTTATATTTCATAAAAATGTATTTGTGAGATTTAATTATTTATTAAATTTAATAAAAATTTATTTTAAATATAGTTTTGATGTACATGTTAGTTTAACATGCCCAAAGTATTTCGCGGATTTCATTCTCGCGGATTTTTTTTTTTTTTCATTTTCCTGCATCAAATCAAATTCTTTCTAAAATTAATTATAACCCCGATAAAACCCAGTGTCGATGAGTAGCGGAACCGGTTCTCTTCGTCGATGAGTCAGCATTCCTCACCTCGTCGGACGCCGTCCACGGTTGTACGCCATGCACCGTTGTTCTCGGGCAAGCAGTGATGAAGGTTCGAACCTAGGGCTTCTTCTACACCCAAAATCCGGGAGATAGATTTGTTTAATCTGGCTTTGAATCTAGATTTGAATTTGTTCCCCGCGTCATCTGTTCCCTGCGTAGCTGTTCTTGCTTTGTTTTAAATTTTCATATAATTTTGCTTTGAATCTGGCCGTGTAATCGTTGAATAATGACGCCTTTGAAATTGGGCGTATTTGTCAAACGAGTTTACGTTTTTTTTTTTGGTGCTAGTTTTTGCTTGAATGGTGTGCAATTGGCTATTATACTCCTTCCCTCTTCATTTTGATTACTAGCGACTTGTATGATTTGGATTATGTTGTTTTGCAATGTTGGATTTGCTGTGTATTGGCATTTTGTTTATTAATCTTTTTATATCATCATCAATTTTGGAAAATTCTCAAGTTATTTACGGCGTGTGACCTTGTAAATTACCTAGCTCGAGCTGTGTCAAAGCATCTGGAACAAAAATTGTAAGGGTATTATATTTCAACTATGCCTCCACTGAGTGTAGTATAGGTCCGCCTGTGAACTCTAGCACCATTTTCGATGCTTGATCTTGGATTTGGTTCTGGAAGCAAAGCTGGGTAGGTTGACCTTTCTCTCTTCTAGCTTGTGTTTGCAAAATCCTATACTGTTTTAAGCAAAATGTTTAGTTTGTGCCTTTGTGGGTGATTTAATTGCTTGTTTTTAATCTTCTATCTGCCTCAACTATTCTACTTCTTTTGATTTTATGAAGATTTGATGTAGCCGTAAGAGTTTATCATTTAGATTCTGTGAATGCTGTGATTGAAAAGGTTTTCTGTATGCAAAGAGTTCATGCAGTATATTTCTCTTGACTGAAGTGTGGATTGAAGTGTCAGAACAAATATTATCGGATTTAAGTGCAGCATTGGGGATAACATCAGGCATACAGTTTTTGTTGGAAGCCTGAGAGACAGTTTTATTTCTTTCCTTCTTTCTTTCTTTACAGCCTTAGTCAAACTACTAATGAACAAAGCATTTCATTGAATCAATCAAGGCATTAGTTCAACTGGTTGAGAACCAGTTTTCAATCCTATAATTTTAGAGCTCAACATTGGATAACCTAATAACAAACAATGAGTAACATCGTGTTTTACTGCACTAAAAGATCTAATTATATCAGTAGGAGGATTTGAATTAGCTCTTTTGGTGCAGCCATGCACGAGGTTACTTATAGCTTACGAAAACAAAAAACTAAAGAGCTAATTAAAACACATAATTTGACAATTTAAAGGGACCGTATGATTTTTTTTTTTTTAAATTTCAATTTTGCAATTCATTTGCACTTTCATTGCCTGCATTAAGATTGTGATTGGATTCTTTGATGTTTTCTGTTTTGTTAGTCACTGTTGATGCAATGTTACTTCTAATTTTTTATATTGACTTGTTGGGTTTTACTGTTTTGGAAATTTTGGCTATGTACCACACTTATTTTAGCCTCTTGTATGATCTCCCATATGACAATCGTTTGAAGCTTTAAATTTTTTGTTGCTTGAAGCATGGACAGCTACCATACTGCCTCAGCTATTTAGCCTTTCAACTTGATGGCGAGACTACTAATAAAGACTATCTTGGATATAAAGGAGGATCTCTTGTTCAAACTCCCCATTTGTATTTATATTTGAAAAACAGTGGCTTCTCCAGATTGTATGCTTCTGCCATTCTCCTCAGTCTCAAAAATGTGGTCATGGGTGTCACGTTTAAGGCCTTCTTTTAATTAACAATGGGAGTAACTCTGGTGCCACTGAGCTTGATGTTTACATTCCTTCGTAGAAATCGCTCTTCACCAAAAATTAGCATAAGAGCTACATAATCAAAGGTCAGTACTTGGTCTTGGACGAGAGGGATACAAATAGTAGCAGTATTTAGGTTGACCAGCCATGTCAATAATAAGCAGGTCCAACCATGTTGATTTAAGAATCACGAAAGATATATTTGTTTCAGCTATTCGCTTTGCGACATCCATAGAGGGACCGTGTCCCCCATTTGGAGATGAGCTTCGAACCTCTGCTCAAGAGCAAGTTGAGTATATGTTAGGGGAGGATGAAGACACTGCAATGGTTATGGCTGATGATGAGGTGAGATCGGCAATAGTGATGGGTGTTTCCAAGATTTTCTGTTTGTTTGAAATGGATCTGTCTTCTTTGCTCTTGGACCCTGACCTGGAGTCCGAGGCTGCACATAAGAGGATATCTCTGAGAGTTGCTGATCTTGAATGGATGTGTAATGTACTCATAAAGATGGATTTAATGAAGAACTTCGTTTCAAACTGGACTGCAATCTCTAAAAGAATTCTGGCAGTGATAGAAGACAAGAAGCTTGACCAAGTCATGTGGGGCCTAAAAGCAAAGATGATAGAAGTAACTGGGAAGGTTCTTGAAGCAGTGGGTTATGGTAATGTGATTGTTCCAGCTCTATGCAGGGTTCAGTTGTTGAAGACCTGGCTTCCATATGTTCGGAAGATGAAGCCTATACTAGACTCAAAGGCCACTGAGGAGATAGGTTTTCCATACAAGATGGATGAAGACATGTGCCAGAACATCGAGGGGTCGATGGTGTCGTTGGTACTGACCTTGCCGTCGAATGATCAGGCAGACATTCTTGCTGACTGGATCAAAGGCGAGGAGGTTCAGTATCCTGACTTGAGCGAGGCTTTTGAGGTATGGTGTTACAGAACCAAGTCTGCAAAGAGGAGACTTATGGAAGGTTCAGACAGCCACAGTGATGGCAGTCGTTGAGTTGGGTTCCAAGGACCGAACCTTTTTTCATCTTCATTTTAGTTGTGCTGATCCTGTCTAGTAGAATAAAGCTTGTTATTATTATTGTATTGTAGTTCATTGCTTCTAGGTTTCAATTCCATGTTTTGAACTACCATTGGGGTTAGTGTAGGCATGTCTGAACTCCAAAGTATGCTGTGTTAACAATAGCGACTTGCCCAATTGATATTGGTCGAGAGTGTAATCCTGTCTGGGAGTTCAGTCCTTTTGTTGTCGAATTTGTTAAAAATATTATAATAGAAGTGTAGGTGTCCATGTCCTTTCAAAAGTTGTTCTTTAAAACTTTTCGACTAAAACTAGCTAGCTTGTAACGTATATGTCCTCTGGGGAGTTTTTGACAATTAATACATGTTATAAATTCTATATTTATGTAGATTTGTTCTTTGCATATAGCTCTTATAATAAAATTTAAGAACTTGTGGCCTTCAAATGGTGGATATGTATTAAGTGATTGTAAGTTTAAAGTGAATGAAATTATCTTATTTTTCTTTCCTAATATTTTCTTGTCTTCGTTCATTTCTCTCATATCAATCTTTTATATTCTTATTTTCATAACAATTTTAAAGATAATAAATTTGGGAGAATGATAAATGTTCTAAAAGGATTAATTAATTTAAGTTAGGTTTTAAGTGTAAAACTTAAAAAATTTAAAACTTAATTTCTTAATTTTATAATTATATTGTTGTAAATTTGTAACTTATTTTTTAAATTTTAACATGATTGAATAAATTAATTTTTTTTGTTAAAATTTGAAATATATGTTATAAATTCATCACAATGAGTTGGAAAATTGAAAGATTGAATTGTAAATTTTTAAAATTTGACACTTGAGAATTAACTTAAATTAAGTGATCATTTTAGGACCTCTCTATCATTCTCCCTAATAAATTTAGATAATACTTTCTCTTTCCTAAATTATAACATACTTTTAGACAAAATCTCACATACCAATAAACCTCATTAAATATGCTTACTAACCTTATTTTTTAAAAAAATAAATTTTTAAAAATACCCATCATTTAATACATTAAAAAGAGAAGGGACAAAAATTAATTATAAAGAGAGAGGATAATATTAGAATTGATGCATTTAATGAAATCTTAATCTACGCAAAATGTCTTATATTTTGGGACAAAAAAACTCATTGAAAAGTGCCCTATAATTTAGGACGGAGGAAGTAATTAGTATATGATCCCCTTCCTGTATTCATTTATAATGTGATTTATTGCAACAAGAAATATGCAACTTTAATTTTTAAACATTAAAAAAATTTTAGAATACCGCTGTTAAAATATTGCATGGATTTCTTATTATATGTAAATATTACTTCAACTTGGATAATAAAGCTAAAACATTTATATAAGATCAATCAAATCTTTAGCACGGTATGTGTGTTTTGCAAATAATTACTCCACAGGGCAGTTAAATTCCAAATTAAAGTTATTTTATTTACAGCCTGATTCTATAAGAATGGCAAAATAAAACTGCAATTGTCATATATATTTTTTTAATAAAAATGAAATCGTCGAATTGGTAAGGCAGTAGTATATTTTTGAAGGGAAAATGACAGAAAAAAAACCTTGAAATATGCGAGTGATGATGAGTCCCCTTGAAATACCTTTTTGATATTAAGGATTTTTGATAAAATAATTAAAATACCCCTAATTTAAAATAAAAAAGTAACAATTCTAGCTCTAAAAATATAAATATCAATGACTACTTTTCTTTTGATAATGACTAGAATTGAAAAGGCAATTATAATTTTCTCTAAGCAAATTTTTTATTTATTAAAGTCCAAATATTATAAATATCTGCAACTATTTTAGTCAAATAATGAATTTTTCTTTTGGCAATAATTTAAATGGAACAAACAATTATAACTCCCCTTACACAAATTATTGATTCACTAAAGTTCAAGTGTTATAAATATCCATAATTATAGTTTAAGCAATGAATTTTTTTTTTTAAGCAATGACTAAATGGAACAAATAATTACAAATTTTCCTATATAAACTTTTGTTTCACTGAAGTCCAAGTACTATAAATATCTATAATTATTTTAGTTTAAATAATGACTATTTTTTTATTATAATTGAAGGTGTAAGGTCTCATGTAGACAAGTATCTTAATGATATCATAAGAGAGTTGGGCTTCATTGAATAAAAAATTTACACAAGAAAAATTGTAATTGCTTGTGTTTGTTTTACTCATTGGTTAGAGAAAAGTAATCATCATTATTTAAATTAAAGTAGTCATAGATATTTATAATCCTTGAACTTCAATGAATCAAATATTTGCCTAAAAAAAGTTATAATTGCTTGTTTTATTCTAATCATTAACAAAAAAAAAATAGTCACTACTTAAACTAAAATAATCACTGATATTAACTTTTTTTATCAGGATTTTTACTTTTTTTAATTTTAAACTGAATATATTTGTCATTGTATCAAAAATTATTAGGGAAAATTATTCTAAGGTCCCATGGAAGCATTCAAAATACTTTGAAGTCCCATGAATTCATCAAATAGCTGCCAAATCCCAAGGAACTTAAGGGTGAACAAGTTTAAAAATGAAATTACTAATTTGTCATTTACCATTAAAAAGGAAGTTTTACTTGAACACATATCTCACGAAACTTATGATTAGCGATACTGAAAATTGATGCATATCCATGATTGTTGAATCACGATAGGATAATTTTCACTTCCTCATATCTATGACTACCACCCTTGTCTTCATCTAAGTGAGGTGAGAGTGTTCATCCGCGACTACAATGTTTCATCGACAGAAAACAATATAGTAATTATTGAGCAAGTAAATGATTTCTTATGTGTTAATGATTTTATTATTGTTTAAGGGTAGTATAATGCTTTTTAGGTAGACCTGTGATTATTTGATTTGCATAGCTAATGGGTATGGATTTATCTGGTGCAACATTGATATGTTGAAAAGTATCTGATATGAATAACTCAACATGTTGTCAATAGTGTATTCTTATATTGTCAATATGCTATGAATAGTTGTTGATATATTGTATTATGCAGGATGACTTGTAAGAATATTTATACTACTGAAAAATATGTATTATGTTATGTTTTTTTTTCATAAAAGGGATATTTTATATATTATTCTCAAGCATTTGATGCAAGCCAGTTTTGTTAAAAAATTTCTATTGTACCTTATAAGATTGACTTGTGGTGCAGGATGACCTCTATAGGAAGAAGATAAAATTTCTATAGTAGTTATTGAGTCATTGTAACAACGTGAAGAAGCACGAAGCCATACCCTTGTTAGAAAGATCCCAACAAAGGAAGAAGAGGAAATAGAAGATCATTGATAAAACTTTAGAATATAACTTTATTGATAATCATGTCCTTTTATATAATTAGCCCATTTTATGTAGTTAACTTAGACAATGTTATTATAAATAATGATTATAAGTTTGTAAATGTGGCAAATAATTAGTTTTATTAATTAAATGTTAACAAGTGGCCAACTGTGATTGACAAGTGATTTTCATTTTATTGATAATCTATGCATTTGTTATTGACTAGTGCTAATACATTAGGTGTTGTTATTTCCTTTAAAAATCAACAAACTATAAGAACCTGTTGATTACTTGCCGTTGTCAATTGATAAGTGGTTATCACTATATTGACAAGCTATGCATTCACCATTAACAAGTGCTAATACATTAGGTAATGTTATTCCCCTTAAAAATTAACAAGTTACAAGAATCTATTGATTATTTGCTGTTGGTAATTGAGAAGTGGTTATCACTATATTGACAAGCTATGCATTCACCATTGATAAGTGCTGATACATTAAGTACTGTTATTTTCTTTAAAAATTAACTAGTTATAAGAAACTGTTGACCACTTGCCATTGGCCATTGACTACAGGTTATCACTATATTGACAAGCTATGCATTCGCCATTGACAAGTGTTAATACATTAGGTGCTATTATTTCCTTTAAAAATCAATCAATTACAATAACCTGTTGACTACTTGTCGTTGGCCATTGACTATAAGCTATCATTATATTGACAAGCTATGCATTTTTATTGACAAGTATTGATACATTAGATGCAATAATTCCCTTTAAAAATCAACCAGGTACAAGAACCGATTGACTACTTACTATTGGCCATTGACTACAAGTTATCACTTCATTGACAAACTATCATTCTTCATTGACAAGTATTGATACATTAGTTGCAATAAATAAAAAAATAAATTCTAGATACATAAACCAAAAGTACACTTGTCTTTGATATTTTTTAGCATGGATTAAGATTATTGCAAGTCTTGGAGGTATGACCAATCTCGTGGGATCTTGCATAATAATAAACCCTTTTGTTTTGAATTTGAGATTCCCTTCTTTTACACTTTGGCCTACCCGAAAGCCTTATAGTTATTGATAGCTTCAAGCAAGTTTAGGTTAATAAATTTGTCACCGTCAATGCTTATGGACATGGACAGTCATATGTGGCTACTAACCTCATATTGCTAGCATATATCTTTTGTTGAGCAGTAAACTTGTAACATTCATCCACAAAATTGTATATATTGCCATAAACTAACTTGATTGCTGCACATGCATGTACACAAGGTATTCCACTCATTTGCCATGCTAAACAAAGCATGTATGTGCTACTCATTTGATAATATCATTCTTGTCAACTTTCCATACGTTGTCCATTCCTTTATTGTTTTTGTTCTAACACTACCCCCAACATATTGCATACTTCCTTGGTCATAATTTTGAAAATGTCTCCTATATGAAAAAAAATATATGTTCTTCAGAAGAACTTGCCATCTTACAAGTCAATCTACACCACACACAATATATTGACAACTACACACAACATAATGAAAACAAATTCATCTACTATTGACAAGATGCAGTGTTGTTTCATAATAAAGATTTTTTAACAAAATAAGCTTACATCACATGCTTGAGAATAATGTATAAAATATCCCCTATACGAAAAAAAAGTAACATTATACATATTTTCCAATAGTATAAACATTCTTACAAGTCATCCTATACAATACAATGTATCGACAACTATCCATGTCATATTGACAATGCAAGAATGCACTATTGACAACATGTAAAGTTATTCGTATAAGATATTTTTCAACATATCAATGTTGCACTAAATAAATCCATACCCATCAGCTATACAAATCAAATAATCGCAAGTATACCCAAAAAGTATTATCCTACCCTTAAATAATAATGAAATCATTAATGCATAAGAAATCATTTACTTGCTCAACAATCACTATATTGTTTTCTATCGATGAAACACTGCAGTCGCAGATGAACACTCTCACCTTACTTAGATGAAGACAAGGGCGATAATCACAGATATGAGAAAGTGAAAATTATCCTACTGTGATCAACAACCATGGATATACATCAATCTTCAATATCATTGATCATGGATTTCGTGAGATATACATTCAAGCAAAACTTCCTTTTTAATGGTAGAGGACAAATCAGTAATTTCATTTTCAGACTTATTCAACCTTGAGCCCCTAGAAATTTGGCAGCTATTTGATGATTTCATGGGACTTCAGTGCATTTTAAATGCTTTCATAGGACCTTAGAATGATTTTCCTAAATTATTAAAGTCAGAAAGATTTCTAAACAAAATATATCATTTCAAGGGAAAAATGATAATTTGGGAAATTGCCTTTTTTTTTTGTTAAGATAATTCTTTATTTTTTTAAAAGAAAAATTTGACATATAATACCATATAAATAATTTGAATTGTTAATTTAACCAAATAATTTAAATTTAAAAAATTAAATCATTTCATATCATAAAAACCCTAAAATTATCTTCTCTTGGTGGAGGGGGAGAGTTTTCCCAACTTTGACTTACCATATATTAATAGTAAAAAACACCTCAGAATCTGTACTAAAAAACATTGCTGCTTCTTTTCAGAGCATCAAAACAAAAGGAAATTGTACTAGTTTTCAGATGCAGTGTCATTACACTCTGCTGGGTTACCTTGGTTATTCACAGCATCAACTGCTCGAATATAAGCACTAGCAAATGACGAAAGGGACTGGAACAAAGGAGGAAGTCTTGACCTGAGGCTGTTTAGAGCCATGACAGTGTTCGTCTGGACAGCTTTCAAATAATTCTCCTGCTCACTTTCCAATTGCTTCTTTAAGGCTTCAATTTTGTCACGTTTAGCTGATAAAAAGGCTTCCACTTTGGCACGTTTAATTGATGAAGGGTTGCTGGGGCTTGGAGGTGTGTCCCCAGCATCATCGTTCCACTCAAGTTTGTTCTCCGTCTCTGCTAGATAGTTACGTTCCCTTTGCAGCTTTCTCTCCAGTTTTCTGACCTTTTTTCGCAGTCTATCTTCCTCGGCTTGCTGGGCAATTATGCAACTGATAGATGACCGTAGGTTTTTAATTGATTCAGAGGTCTCCTGCAACCACACCAGAGCACAAGAAAATTTATAGATCTTACTACTTACAAGTAGTCAAGGATCCACATGCACAAGAAGAAAATGTATCAGGTGAAGGGTGATTTTGAAGTTAGAAGAGAAGAGTATATAATACTGTCATTTCAAAGATTAAGAATCGAGAATATTACACAAACAATCATGAATATCTTTCTTTTTTTACATGAATGAGTTTTGCATTATTCTAAACCATTAATTTTTAATTTAACGATGATTAACCACTGCTTCCACTTGATACATGCAACAGTGTGTGCGCGTGTGTTGATAGAATGGAACAAATTAAGAACATCCTCACGACTTAGCAGCGTATGAGTCTTCTAGTCTATTAGTGACATGGTGTGAGTAGTAAAAGATAGTAATAAAGTTAATCAGCTTAGTCAGGTTCTCTTCAAGGTAACTAGGCTCCTAACTACCTACTAGAGTTAGTCAACTCTTATATGATGTAAATAAGAGATACTAGAAAGCTTTATTTTGTTGATTGAATTCTTGTCTAGTAACACATAATGACATCGAGTTACTCTCAGCTCTCATCAAACTAAACTGGCATCACAACCAAATGTTCTTGGTGATTGGAAAAAAGATCATTGAAGTGTTTCCATAAGCTTGAATAAGACTTGTTGCTGATGAACTTAGGAGTGAGTGACTACTTAGCCGCTACCAATTTCAGCCACTGTGTGGACTCCATTAAAGCATGCATTTTCTTCTAGGCATGCCCAAATCCGACAATGAAAACCAATTTGAATGGTTCTAGACAGACTGACCAAAGGTGAACATTTCATAATAGCATCCTTTCGCAGCAGTGAAAGTGGCTCAAGCATTCTTGGACAATGTGATTAAGTTACAGGGATTTCCTCAATCCACTGGGCTAAAATAGAGATAATATTTTTTTTTTTTGTGGGAAATAGAAGGCTTTTTTTAAAACTGATAATCCAAAACTTCTGAATTCATCAGCCCATCATCCGCACATGGACAGACAAACAGCATTGCTTTAAATGTTATTTGGAATGCACGTTCAACAGTAATTTCCAACAAAATATTATATTGACTTGAATTTCTGATGGGATGATATTAACCAAGGAACTAACGAGCCTAGTTTGAAGAATTAATTTCCAAGCTTGGTATGTTTGACATTTACTCGTCAGCTTAAAGGGGAGTGTTGGATTCCCGTAATCTGAAGCGTTGGTGTTCTTATTTGCAAGCTAGGTTAAAAAAAAAAAAAAAACTATTATATAGTTGCAGCAAATGGGCAAAAACCACCAAGGTACATTCTCTATTGATTTCATCATTTTACATGAAGGTGGCTTGGAATAAAATGCGCACAACAATTATCAATTGGTCAACAAAGAATAATGGCACCACTTGTGAAGAGAAAATGAGGTTTAAAAATGACAAAAGGGTGGGGTCACACTTGAATAAAGAAGCCAAGGGTTAAGAGTTGAAGCTGGAAGCTTCTAGCTTCCTAATTCCTTGTCCCTTGTTTGTAATCTCTGATTAGTAGCATTTGTGTTTCCATTTCCTATTTGTTAATTCTGCACTTCACATTGTTTTATCTTCAATAGAATTCAAATTCCTAGCCATTCTTAACCTTTGAATTCATCTTACACTTCCTCACATGTTCCATCCCAGTTCCTACACTATCCTTTCCACTTGTCATTCTCGATTCCATTCCCTAAGCTTTGGTATTATCATCACCACTTGCAAGTAGTTATTTTTCCCTCCAAAATCAACCACTTCACGTACCATAATCAGATTACAGCTGCGGCCACTTGCATTAACACTTTGACATTCATTCACTTCTCAACCTTGATCATATCCCCGAAATTCACTCTCGTTCTCTCATCACTGTCTCCTCCCAGGTTCTTTGCCTTCTCCACTTTTCTTCTACCACAATTCTGCCATTTCCAAACGTGCAAAATCACCACCAACTAGTCCGATTCATAACCTCCCAACAAGTTCGACCAAATCCTTGCTTCTCTTGGAGATCAAGTTCGTCATCAACATCAATCATGGCCAAGCTTCTCCAACACATTGGGGCTGTTATGGAGATGATGATTCGTGGCTAAGGAGCTAGGATTCATGGTTTGAAGATTGAGTTCAAGGGCTTCAATTGGCTAAGGATTCTAAACTCTAGATTCCCCTTGATTTACTTATGTTTTTCTTAGTACATACTTCTATTGGATTGGTGTAAGGCTTGTATAGCCATTGGATGGCCAGTCTTCGAATTGAGAACTCTGGTTAATTGGCCTTTGGTTGCTAGAATTAGTGTCTTAATTTCAAATTCAATGATTGTTGCATAGTTGTTTTCAATCGTTGAAAGTTCTTGGTTTATCACTTGCACAGTTGTATTGTGTGACAAAAACACTGTTAGTTAGGTATTCTTTGTGTGTGTGTGTGTGTGTGTTAACGAGCTAGGTTTAGGATACTCTTGAACCATAATTGGCCAATGAAAGCACTTCCTAAGCAATCTAATAATCGAACAAAGGTTTCTTCACCGTACGCCTAGGGATCACTCACATATTGGATACAAATTGCATTTTCAATCTCTCACTAAACCGAAATTGAACAAATATTAGGAATAGCTTAACTTGCATTTTAGGACAACTGAATCGCTCAACTTTGCTTGCTGTTTTTATAGCACACTCAACACTTTCATAATCAATATAGAAGCCAACTCTTAGGGAAGAATGACCCAGGTTGCACCCTACACTATAGGTTATAGTCGTTGCACCCTACACTATAGGTTATAGTCTAGTTTAATTTGGTGCATTAACGACAAGTTCAACTGGCTAATCTTGTGTCATCTATTCTCTCGCACTATATGTAAACTTCATTATAAATCTTACTCCAAAATTTTTAGCTATATCATGCACCACCATAAGACCAAAACCAAGAGTGGGTGACACCGATCTAATGAGGGCCAATAGTCGGTAGACAAACTGCCTATTTGGATAACATCTAGAATCAATTTTAGGAGTCAAAACCATGATTTCGTGAAAATATATCCAAACATCTTTTTTACCCGTTAAAATCAATTATAAACCTAAAATCATGTTTTCTTAAAAATATCCAAACACCCATTATACATGCTAAAATCAATTATAAATCCAAAACCATAGTTTTCTTAAGACAATCCAAATACATCTAGATATGTCAATATCAATATGATTTGTAAAATGATTTATACAATATTTGGATAAATTTTTAGAAAAGCTGAATTGAAAAGTAGGTAATAGAAGCTTAGGAAATAAGGGTGGTTTTTGGTTCATAATTGATTTTGGCTTGTATAGGAACGTTTGGATATTTTAAAAAAAAAAAAAAACTATAGTTTTGGGTTCATAATTAATTTTGGCATGCATAATGAGTGCTTGGATATTTTTTTTGGAAAATATGGTTTTAGATTCATAATTAATTTTAACACATAACAGAAGTGCTTGGATATATTTTCACAAAAGCATAGTTTTACCCAATTTTCAATTTTCTTTTCAATTCTAATTAAAATCAATCTTATTAATCAATTTTATAAATCAATTATTTTCAAAATCAACCATACTAATCAATTTTTTCTGGCAGATATCCAAACAGGCCCAAATACAAAAATGGTAGGGTTAATATTGCAGAAAGAAACAAACAGATACGGTGATACAATTCTGGAAAAGAAAATTTTGTAGTTTCTCAGTTTTGAAATTAAACCATGAAAGGGAATAGATCTACAGAAAACATATTTGTTTTAACTCTGAAATAATTAAGACAAAAAATGAAAGTTTTAACAAAAAGGTTTCAGTGAAACTACCTTATCAGGTAATTCGGCAAGTCCACGCATCCACTGTTCAATAATGCTATGAATCATTGAAGCGCAACTACTCCGTTTATGGTCATCCATGAGGCAGTGAGTACGTTGAATCCATGCATCCAGAATCCTTACATATTCCCGCTGAGATTTTACCAGGTTACAAAAGCTTTTATACCAATATGTGACCTCATTCTCAAGCTGAAGTGTAGCCTGGCGATGATACTCAGAATTTAGCAATGTGCTTTGATTATCACTGAGGTAAATCAACTGCTGCGAGATGAGAATTTGGGCCTGATGACATTTATACATTGTCCTCCACGTTTGAGTCAACCTGCAAAACAATTAAAAGCTTGAATCAAAACTCCAGGACAAGATTGAGCAGATGACAGAATCCAAGAGCATTCTTCATTTTCCCCTTAAATTACTAATGACATCTAAATAAAACTTTCACCTTAGTGCAATAGAAACATATATAATATCTTTTAAGGGTAAACAAAACATACAGCATTTCCAAAATTCCTCTTTATGTTTTCCTATCATAATTACAGGTATTGATTTCTTCACTCTTAGATTCCTCTGTCTTTTACCTAGTATGAAAGGAACTTATTTGCCAGTTAATTTTATCAATTTGGTCATGTGATTCAATTATAGGGTTTTGATAACAGTTATCTACACCAAATCAACAACTGTTTCTTCATGATTTTTTCCCACAAATGCCTCCCCAAGGATAACAAGATTGTCTTAAAATCTGGATCAATGTTAATGCATGATTCAAACAGGAGTAAGTCTAACAAAGCCATTGCCAGAGAAAGCTACCCTGAAGTTAATGCAACAAGCTGAGGATACAGCTCCTTATCCATGACTTCCAATATTGAAGAAGTTGCTTCGCTAATTGACTGCTGCAGTTGTAATTGATTAGATTTTAAATTCTCAACACTTAATCGAGTTTTTTCCATCTCAACCCAATCAGGGTTCTCGTCCAATTTTTTTTGCAATAAAAAGGACTTCTTCTCGTACTCCAATTTCACAATTTCCTCCTCCTACAATATGTAATGTTTAAACAATGAGAAAAGTATGTTATTCCAAAAATTGAAGAAACGAAACTAACTCATCATAGAAAAAGCATTAGCTCCAAGAAACGATTTTAAAATGGAGGAAATAATATTAAAAAAAAAACTAACTTCATAATCAAAACTTAAATGCTGCAATCAATGCCAGTATAAACACATCAAGCATAGCAAATTAATCAATGTTATATTTATATGTTAAAAATGAAAGTAAATTGAAAAGAAAATCATATCTAGACTAGACAAGGCACACCCACACTCAACTAGCACTAACACTACCTATTTTAAGGTGTGTCTTTATGGACGCTGACAACATGTAAACTGATGTGGTAAAATTAACCAAGAGTAGGGGAGGGGGCATGATAAACTTAATGGAAACCTCTAAAATACCCGTGCTCACTTGCAGGTCCAAGAGGGGGCAGCAGACCAGGCTGTAACACGGCAGTGGGAGATCGATAACTCCACAGTCTTTTCATGGCCTGTTAAAGCCATGATTCCTACTATTAAATGATCATTTATGTTCCTCCCAACTGCCTGAGATATATAGGAAGCTGCCCAACAATCTTATTCTGATGGTGAGGATATATATCTTAGCTTTTTGAACTAAAAACTAGATTAAGGAACAGTGATGGGAATAGGGAAGCGACAACTGACAGATTACTACTAGCTTGAAATGGTGGCTCTTTGGCAAGAATTTGATCTGAAAAGGGAAGAGGAGTATTTAATTCCTTGCAGGATTAAATAATATTGATTATGTTTGAGGGAGAATTCTGAGCAGAGTGCCACTGCCAACAACCCAAGAAGCTTTTGCTGAAGTCAGAAGAGAGGAATCTCAAAGGAAAGTGATGTTGAAGGAAGAATCTAATACAAGTACAGAAGCCTCAACCATGGTGTCTCACAACCCTTAATTCTCATGGTTATGAGTCATGCTCTAGAGGACGAAGAGAGAATAAATGAAGTGAACACTTTAAAAAGTCCGGGCATACGAAGGACAAGTGCTGGGACTTAGTGAATTACTTGCAAACTGGTTGACTGGAAACCAAAAAAGGACAAGCCTCGTGGATATCATGCCACAGCAAAACAGACCACTTAAAAAGTGGATGAAAGGCAAAAAAAAAAAAAAAAAACACTAGATGAAATTCTGCAATTATTGACAGAGATGCAAATTTCTGACCAGCACCAACAAAAGAAAGTTCCTATAGCCACAATGGCATATAAAGGTAATTACCTCATGCTTTACATGTATCTCAATTGAAGTCTTAGTGGATTGTTCACTCAGGTGCAACAAACCACGTGACAGATAAGTACCAACTATTCAATACCTACAGTCCATGCGCTGGAAATAAGAAGATCCAAATTGCCAATGGGACTCTCACCGGAAGTGTTCAAATCTTGGACTCGTTGACTCTAAATTCTATTTTACATGTTCCAAAATGAGCATGCAGTTTACTTTCAGCAAGAAAATTGACTAAACAAACCAACTGTAGCGCTGACTTCTTTCCTACTTGCATTTTTCAGGACCTGACAACAAGGTTAGTGAGTGACAGTGCTGAAGAACATGATGGGCTTTACTACATTTATCATCAGTTGACTTCACAAAACAAAACAGGAAAAAAAAAAACAAGAATCCAACATTAAAACCAAAACACGGTAATGGCTAGTAAAATTCACAAAATAAGCATAACTCAAATCAATTGATTTTGCTTTTGAGCTTGAATGTTTATTTGTTTTCTTTAGGGCTTTCTTTTTGTGAAATTTGACACCATTTTGAAATTAGTAATAGGAAGAGTTTAGGGGCTAAAGAAAAAACAAACTCCAGTCTTCTATGCCTTTCCTTTCTTTATGGTACTCTTAGAACATAGATTAATACAAGATAAACTCCTAGAGATTAAGATAAGTGCTAACTACAAGACTTTTAGATAATAATAATAAACTCCTAAACATTATACACCCACTTAATTGTTAAGAACTTATTTTTGAATAATTAATAGGCTTATCATCCCTTAGGAGTTGGGTGTCACATAATTTTTCAACAGCGTGAAATTTCTTGCTGACAATTCCAAATTTGAACAAGATTAATAGAATACAAGACTTTGCTTCACATCTCTTCAAGACACAAATGAAGAACATGCAAACTTGTTTACCTTCAATAACTTGCTAAGTATCTTATCTACAGCATATAATTTTTTAAGCGTGGCACAATGAGCTCCTGGCTTGCAAGGTTCACTAGGACCAGATGATTCAGCAGACTCTCTGGTAAACTGGGATGACTTGGTGTGCCTGTTCCTAGAAAGCACGCTGAAGACCTTTGCAGAATCACTTTTTTTCGCTGGAAAAAAAAAGACCGAACAACCAAAGCAAATTTCAGAGGAACTCATTCACAAGTAAAACATGTCAGTTGATGTAAAGAAAAGTTTTGTACTAAGGGTTGAGAAGAAAAGTTTCAGCTTATTACCTAAACTTTTCATGCTAATTTAAAATGTCACAGCAATCAGTCTTAACAATTACTTCCTATCATCATCCTTTTCCTTAGTTACCAAATCTGCATGAGTGAGCCGTTATCCATTTTTCTGGTTAACTCTACTGATTGTTATATTACATGATAAATCTGACAAAACAGTAACACTGTTTAAAACTTAAATCAATTTATTTGCACGTAAAAGAAATCCAGTAATCTTAATGAAATAGATGATGGAGAAGGCAGTGATGAGAACAAGTTAAGATTTAAAACCACGATTAGTCAGAAACCAACAGGTGATTAACACAAATATATTCACTTTTTATAAGATAATTAACTGAGATTAACTTCATCAATCAACTCAGAAAACCATCAAATAAATTTTACAGATACAGAAAAAAGTGACAAACATCAAAGTAACACAGGAATAGGGCACAAGAAAAATGGATGGTCATTTCAAAACAACTGAATCTGACTGTTAATTGTAAATAGTTCCAACAAGATTCTTCCACCTACAAATAAACACGCCAAGCCCTGTGACAAAAACTTGCTTCATGTGAAATTTAGCAGATACAGAATTTTGGATCAGGCAGCATAATACTGGGCGTGGAAGAATTCAATAATAATCAATAGAACAAAAAGGTATTGACTCAAGAGCCAAGGGGAAGAAGAGAGAACACTCTCACTTTGATTAAAAAAAAAAAGTATATTATTCTTTGATTATGAATACAAAGACAATGACAATGGCCCCATTTATAGTAATTCATAAAAGCCATCTTTCAAATAATGCACTTCAAACTGATAGTTTATAACATTTAAGGAGGAGTTCTGGAATGGAGAATTTAATTCTGGGAATGTTATGGAATTGAAGGGAATTGAAGGAGGGTTTATAACATCTAAGGAGGAGTTCTGGAATGGAGAATTTAATTCTGTTCCAGATATTAGGGAAAAAAACTCACTCAAATATCAAAACAAACATTATAAACCCTATAAAGAAATATAATAAGAAAATCATGAAGTCCAAATGAAAATACAAATTTCCAAAACTTTAAATACCTAGAGGCTAATGGTTAAAAAAAAAAAAAAAGAGTTATGCAAAAAGGGAAAAATAGAAACAGCATAAAATTTGAAAAAGAAGCCAAAATAAGAGTGCATGTAGCCTTACACTTTTGAAGTCCAGAATTCTGGTGCAGAAAAATGTCTCCTTTACTGATATCAATTAGAACAGCTATTTCCTTCCGACATTCAGATGCTTTCAGGAAACAATCATCCAAGTCTTTAACAATATCCTCCAGTGATTTCTTCTCTCCAACTACCATGGACAAATTTGTAGATTCTTTTGCACAAAAGCTCACAGTACAAGAATCATCAACCGGTTCTCTCCACTTTTGTTTCCTACAAAGTGGATTTACAACACCACTTGCAACACCTTGTGCTTCAGAATCTTCATCCCCAAACTCTGTGTTGGTTTCTTCCCAGTTCTCCTCAGTTTCTAGTTCTTCTATTTCAGATCCTTTATGATAGGTTGAAGGTGACCCAAAAATGTAGCCTTCCAATGATGAGCCCTGATTTAGCTGCATAGAAGAAGTCTTGTCAGGACTAAGAGGAGGAGGTGGTGGTGGTGGTGGTTGTGGAGGGGATGGAGGCAGGGGGAGGGATGGAGAGGCAGACACAGCCAAGCCAATGCCATCAGAAGAATTTTCAAGCTCCAACAACTCAGACTCTGTGAATTGCCTAAGGGTTACACCAGTGTTCCTCAATGCTTTCAAATAGGCCCATTGGGAATCAAAAAAAAGCCCTCTAATGTCCACCAATTGTTTCATTAACTTCTTCCTTTCCGTACAGGCATGAATCTTCCCTTCCTCATCCATATTTGACAAAACACACCCCATCTTTTAGATAGGCGACTAGTAAATTTACACTTCCACTGCAACAGGTAACAGACGATAATGAGAACCTGATCAATCCCAGTTGTTATACTAGCATGCTAGAATTTAGTTGCAGTCACCACAAATAGTACAGGCTGAGAAATTTATAACGAAGAAGCTTTATCTTTACTTATTCTCTAAACCTGTCTATAACACCAAAGAATTGCACATAGTTTCAGAGTTTTCATTGCATTAGATGCATTCCTTATTCTAGTTATCAACAATCCGAGTTCACTTGCATTAGCTTCAGAATCAAGTGCACGCAATGAGTGAAATAAATCCCTAAATGGATATCAGATATTCAACCACACTAACGTGAAAACGTGATGATCTTGATAATACCAAGAGCTCAGTTTCTCTGCTTCATGCAAGATCCCGCTAATCCAATAATCTTTACAATCCCCAACAACTCAATAACCAAAAGGAAGATCTTAAAAGAATAAATATCAAAATCAGCTAGGAAACAAATATCCTAAGGTAAAATATTTTATACTACGCTATAAACATTAACTGAGATAACTGACTGCATCATAAATTTTCCCATTTTTCCGGGCATTAACTAATATCTAATAAGATTCATATCCCATATCCAGAATCTGGTATCTATGCACAGCATAAACCTAAGACAAAAAAGGGGGGGCGAAAAATACAGGACATTTGCGTGCCCAAACTCCTCAACTACGAAAAAAATGGGATGAAAAAAAGGCTACCGTAAATCAATTTTGAGAGAAACCAAGAGAAACTCGTATCAATCTCACAGGTCTGTCAGAAAGATCCTGATATTATGCCGGAAAATGTAAATGTAAAGAAAAAATGTTAGACATGAAATACATAAAGTTATTGTTCCAGAGTTGAAAATGTCTAACACGGAACTAGTCTAGTCCTCATTTCAGGGGTCTGGGTTTCAAAAATGTGCAAAACACAAAAGGCGATTCTTCATCTCACAATGAAAAGCATTTTCCAAGAGAATCCCACTTTTATTCCTGCTTTACAAAAAGTGCAGGAGACGGGCTTTCGAAAACCATCAAAAGAGGAGCAGGAGAACGAAGAAGAAAAGCACTAACTACTATTTACCATTCAGTAACGACACATTATGGTATCTAAAACAAGCGAAGCTATACAAACAATACCAGAATTACATGCAGTGGTGGTGGAAGTAGCAGCTACATAGCACAGCACAAGTGAGCGTCAATGCGAAGGCAAAGAAGAGGACTTTTGAGGTTGGAATTTTTTTTTTTTTGGGGGGGGGGGGGGGAGACGTGGGGGAGTAGAGCGAGAGGGAAAAAGTTGGCGTCGCCATGGCTTTTCGAAAAGCTCTTTTTCTGAGTCATGATTTGACTTGAGAAGCTGATAATGATCAACTTCATCACATTCAGCATTCGGCATTCTTCTTTTTCTCCAGTAAACGGAATTTCGACCCCAGGCGTGCTCTAATGTAAGTGGCGTTATCCTTCGTGTTTAAGGAATCCAGTGGAGTTTATATTATATTCTAAAGAAAATGAAAAGCTAGTTGAAGATGGAATTCTCTTTCATCTATCAATATGTATATATAAAATTAGGACCCTCAAACACGCATGCCAACATATTACGAAGTGACCCTGGCTTCATACTTTTCTCCCGTCCTGATACATGTATGCAAGTTGAATAATTTTTTAATAATAAATTATTATTCATTATTTAGAAATATAATGCACTCATTTAATGTGTATGGATGCAATAAATTAATTTCATGATTTGATTGTTTAATTTATAAAAACTATAGTCATCGGATAAATTTGCAAGGAAATTAAATGCATAAATCCATTTTATTTTGACTATTAATTTTAGGATTTAATATCGGATAAAATAACCATAATTTTGTTTTGGGTATACATTAATTTGCTTGATATTCAACTTTGAATCATTATGTCTCTTCAATTTTTCCTTAATTTGCTGACTATGACCATTTTATGCTATATTTAGATTAATATATTTAAGTTTAATTTCTTTGCTTCTATATAAAATCTTTGTATATATAATTTAAAATTTAATATTTAATATTTGAGCAAGTAACTCAAATTATATATACATAGATTTTATAGAGGAGAAAAAATTTAAACTTAAATATATTACTTAGACGACTAATTCAAATTTATACGGTACTTTCAATTTAATTTTTAAATCAACATGATTTATTCCATCTTAATTTTATTTTGTCAATCTTACAATTTATTGCAAATTGTTTACTATCAATCTAATCTTTGAGCAACTAATTCAAATATTTTACACACACACACACACACACACACACACACATATATATATATATATTAATTATGCAAATAATTAACACATAATAAGGATATGAATTTATTTTAAATTAAGCAAAATTTCTTGGAAATAAATTACATCAATGGCAGAAAAAAATGATTATTGGTCTATAGACATATTATTTTTTGGGTATTTCCATTTATTTTAAATTTTTTCACTGTACTTTTGTTATATTTTGAAACTCATTTTCACCCCAACAACTTATATTCATCTCCATTTTTTAGAATTTATTCATTCCACTATAGTGTGTTTCATCTATTTAAAAAGGTGAGTCTAAAAGTTTAATTATTCCATTCAAATCACCTCAAATTACTATTCAATTGTTATCTCTTTCGATGAACTCTACCACTTCTATTGTGCATTCATCCCATGCTTCTTTCTTTACATGTTCTTCCTTCATCATCATCTAAAAAATTTAACCATGCCTAAGAATTCTGCAAGACATGGTTCCACAATTTAGTGATGCTCGAGCTATCAACCTACTTCAAAATTATTGGAAGATGTGCATCTGAACAATTGGGTTACCTTTTACTTAACGAGACCTAATTAGAGGAGATGGTTTATCAAGATGCCAATGTAATAATGGCTTTTATTGGGTTGTTTCCTTTTGTTTTTATTTTATTTTATATGAGTTTCTGATGTTTGTATGTTCATTTCATGGTCATTGTATTCATATTGTTGTGAAGATCAAATTTTTCTTTCAAAGTTTTCACCTCAGTTGCATGAGGTTGGGATAAATGTTATTTTTCAATTTGGTGCTGGCCAAAACATCATATCACATAGGACTATGGATCATATGTATAAGATTAACTTCTAGATCTCTATTATTGTTTGTCCCTGTGGTAATGAATGTTTTATATATCAATATGAATTTTTCTACCAATATTTAGATTTATTTGCCAACCATACTTTGTTATAATTAGATTTGGTTATATCATTGAGTTTTGCTTTTTGCTTCTCCTCGTCACATAATTATCAATTTGATTTGAATCTCTAGTCTTTGTAGTCAGTTTAATTTTATAATGCATGATAATATATTCTAGAAGACTAGTATAATAATTAAGGCATCAAACATTACCTTTCTCTTAAGTATGGCCAATCATTACCTTTCTTCTCCATATTTGATTTTTTTTTTTTTAGCTTCATAATCTTGCAAAGGTCATGTCCCCCTCTACCAAAAAAAAAAAAAGTCATTTGTTAAATTACTGGACTAAATACAAACTATTATATTTTCAAATGCCACGTCAACTTCCTATTTCCTTCCTGTTGTGACGTATGGATGTTTGATAATTAATTTTGTAGACAAATTATTATTGTCTCAAGGTTTATTGGAAATACAATGTGTTAATTTTGGGATTTGATTTTTTTAATTTATTAATTTCAATGTCATGCCAATATTTCAATGTAATATCATCTTGCATCAAACTACCTTAAATCAAGAAATGTTATGCTTCCATATAGGATCCATGAACTTCAGATGTTGAGCCATGTGGATGAATAAATTGCCTATTTTGTACATCTACTAGAATGATATTTATAAATTTTATTTTGATTCCCTTATTGTAACTTTTGGGTTAGTCCAATAAAGTTATCCTTATTAATCCTCCCCAATCTCCCACAAATCAATATGATCATTTATTTGACAAAATTATCATTGGAAATAACCCAATTTTCCAGAATCAATCGGGGGAAACGATTTCAAACTGTTTACAATGGAATTCCAAATCTTTCAATGTTTAAAATATTCTCAATGCTTTCAATAGTCCTTAAATCAAATATTTTAAAACGTTGCCAAGACAAACTTCTAATTCCATCGATCGCTATCAATATCATGTGGATTTAACCATCTACTCCTCTTCCTAAGTGAACTCCCGTCAATAATCATACTATACACATATTGCACATAATATGCACTTGTGATAGTTAATGTCATTAGATACATTTGTCTCATCACATCATTTACATAAAACTCTCTCTTTCTCTACTACATTTCGCATGCCAATTAGTACATATTTATATATTCTTAATTATCATCATTATTCACATGTTTAGAGACATGCATATCATTTTCAACAATAACACAATATCAAACATGTCAAATTTACATTAAAAGTTTAAAATATCAATTATGTTTACAAACCAATTTTAACAAATAATTAATTAATATACAACTATACAAACTAAGTTTCCCTCAGTTACCTCAAACTTTTGAGAGATCAAAGATTTACCCCTAACAATAACCACTTCCAAAGTTCTTTCCAAGCTCGAATGGTGCCAAAAATTAATAGTCTACAATCACATTATAAGGATGTCATCATTATCTCATTCTTGAAAATGTACCAACATTAAACTTCACATTTTCCATTTTGTCAATCTCATAAAATCATACTCAATCATGCCCAATAGGTTTACTAAATTTCATTAACTCGTACTATCACTAATGAGTCATTAAACCATCATTAATGAGCATCAAATACTCTCCACAACCTCATAAATGCTAAATTTCACATATTAATGACTCCCAATTACTAACCATTTACAAAACCATTAATGTTGGGAGCCATAACTCATATAGATCGAAAATTATCATTAACACTCAAACCCTAACTCAACTCTTCATAATAATAGAAGCAGAGAAGAAGAAGGAAGCGCATTATACTTACCTTAGGGTTGGGAAGCTTATAAATATCCTTAATGGTCCTAATGTGCATGCCCTAGTAGAGAAATTTTGTGTTCTTTGTTTTCTCCTTTTCTCCTCTTCTGTCTTCGTATGCAGACACGAATTGGTTCATTCAAATTTTTGGCTATGCACCATAATACATAGCATAAAGAGCTTCAATCAAGTTGATTTGCCTCTATGTGTCATGGCATGTGGCTCAGAGAATTTTTTCTCATATTTTCCTCTTCTTTCCTTGCTCAAACTGCCTAATTTCACTTCGTACCCGCATCTTGAGCTAAAAACAAAAATCAATTACACTGATTAACCCTTCTAGCTACACACTTCACCAAATTGCTAATCTCCTTGATTAAGCTTAGTCAATCATGCTTAGATTCCTATGATGTTACACTTATTTCCAAAAGAAAAAAAGTAGTTTGACACTTATTTAATTAATACCAATATATGATATAAATTAATTATAATTAGCGATGGCAAAGGAAAATTTTCAAGATTCAAAAATCATAATTAATTAAAAGTTGACATTTCAAATCAAAATCTATAACTTATAATATTATGTAATTGCCCTCGAGTGGGTAGTGTACCCATTCGACTTTTTCTTTTTCTTTTTTAAATTTGTTATTGCTTTTTCTTTTTTATTTATTTGTTATTGTTACAGATGGGTACTATATCGGTACCCATCCATGACCCTTTTTTTTTATTTGTTACGGATGGGTACTGTACCATCTAACTTTTTTTAAAACAAAATTTATTTTTAAAAATGTGATATGGTAATTAAAAAAGGAAAAGAATAAGTGTGTCCTGTAATAAAAGAGACACATGTGAGATATATAATTAAAAATAAGTAAAATATTTTATTTATTTTCATCTTAATTAATGATACTTTTTTTTCTATTTTTTAAAACCTATATAAATATTT